GGTTGGTTTTATTTTTATATACATGTGCATGGGGAAACAGGAAGAAGTTTGGCATTTGGCATTGTAAAGGGAAGGAAAGAGAAGGAGAAGTGAGCTGCACGCCAATGACTAATGGGAATTTTGAATGTCAACGGTTTTGAAAATATATATTGGTACAAAAGTATGTATTTGGTGCCGGCTTAAGACTTATTATTCTTTATTTCAGGTCAAATTGAGTGTGAGATTTTTCTAGGAAACTATGTACCTCTACGGGTCGAAAGAATTTTCGGGGGAAGGCAGGCAGTTTGTGTGTTGCAACTTCTCAGCTCTCAACAAGATAATTGCAGTTTTGGGATGCTTGGAATAATGGAATTCCTTGCCATTTTTCTAATTTTTTGGCGACAGGAAGCAATCTTTGTCATACAAAGTAAGACAAATATTCAATTATGCTTAGATCTTTATTCTTTTCCAATATATAGGTATTTATAAGAAGTACAATCCTAATTAAAATAGGAAATAAATCTAAATTACAATAAGAAATAAATCTCAACTAAGAAACCATCATCCTAATTAAAGATGAACTCGCCAATAATCTTGTACGTCTCTCACACAGCAACCATGGGACTTCAAAGTCGGCATCTCTGATTAAAGTGGTCCTGTAATTAATCACTTGATCACATTTTCAACAGCAACTAATTAAAGTGGTTAATGAGGAATTAATGAAACAACGATGTACTAAATCCAGAGATGACACACGGAAAATCTCTGAAATTAGGTGCCTTGTGTTTGGGTATCCTATATATGTATATATACATATATACAATCCATCATTTAAACATCATTTAATTTTGTTTTGTTTTTAGGCGGATGAGTCATGAGGTGAGGGATGATGCTGATGATCTTTTGCGTGTGAAGGTCTGTTAAGAAAACAAGGCTTCAAAGGGGGTCCACTGATTTCTTTTTTTTTAACATTCACATTCAATTGACACTGATGCACACCTGTTTCTGGTATATGATCATCTCTCAGTTACAAAAGAAGAAAATTATATATAATTTTTTATGTTCTTATTTTTCACTATCTATTCAATCAATCAATCACGCATGGATGTTAAAACTACACTCAAATTTCAATGCTGTTCTAGTCAATCAAATAATACCAACAAAATGGTCATTTCTAAATACCAAGCTAATACACCTTAATTGACCAAAATATTAATATTAATAATATAACCGAAAGAAGTTTATATTACGTAAATCCCTTAACTTTTCAATACGAGACAACTCTTATCTTCCCACGCGAGGTGAGTTAAGTATTCTTAAGCAATAGTACAAGACTACGTAGACTAGTAGGAGTATGAGATGAGAGTCAGAGGTAAACGGGTCAAAATCAAGATTTGGAAGGGAGGAGTCTGGGTCTTGAACGTGTGGCAAATTGCCAGCTGGGTTGGTAAGCAATTTAAGATGAATTAAATTATTCCATTTCAATCGTCAATGTGATGCTCAAGTTGCTGCATAGCTTAAAGCCAGCCATTAACAATTAAGCCAGTGTTTAGCCACCGCATTTGGATTAACTTTAGATTAAGTTTTAATTAATCCAAAACCAAGCAAAATTTAGACAAATGGAAAACAGTGTAAGATAGATATATACCTTGCCTCTAGAGACCGACATCCGGAGAGGAGGCAGCTACACGCAAATGCAGGCCAAAACCGGAGATTGTGGCAGCTGGGTTTGTTGTTTGTTGACAATAAAACCCTAATAATATATATCATCAGAATGGTCAAATATCAACATGCGTAAAATTTGGTGCAAATTAAGTCTCAAGTCTCAAGTCATGGCATATTCAGACTGCCGGGTTTGCTTAAGACTTGGATTTTATTTGGGACCAGTTCTGCATGATGCAAGCTGATGGCTCTTCCTATGTGACATTCTGTCACACCAATTACCATGAATTGGTTGTGCGCATAGTGACTGGAGATTATAAGAAAACCAACCCTCATCAATGTGGCTCATTGCTCCCTAATGAGTCGTATATTTTAGCCACTATGTTGTGCTTGTTGTGCTGTTAATTAATTAGCATGTATATATATATATATATATATGTATATATGCAGATGCTCAGATATTATTATCGTGTGGACGTCATGTATATTCTATTATCCCTCCTTACTTTCGCCCATGTTTACAATTGCGTCCGCACAATAATAACGTGTGGACATCTGGATGAGATATAAATATATATATATATATATGCTGGACAAAGAAAAACCAAAAAGGTTCATTGCAAATTGGGTTCTGCTTTTGGTAATTGAGAAAAGTTTCATTTTTCTCTGGGATAATGGAAAAAGGCAGCTGCCCACTATTATATTTTTGGGGTTTCTTGCTCTCTTCCATTTGGATAGCAACAGACTAACAATATGTAGAATGCTAGCAAGTAGCTAAAAGTAGGTACTCTGATTCATTTATTGTATTAACTTTGCTAGTCAATTATAGCTACAGACCTCAAATCCGCATGTTTTCAAAATTTTGGTAACTGAGAGCAACACCACCAGTGGTGATGGCCGTGATGAGTTTGTGAAGGGACTTTGGCTTTCATTTCTATCTTTCCTCTTTTCCCTTTGAAAAGGACATTGGGATTTTGATGAATGTGATGTTCTTTCAATCAAAACTTCAGTATAAACGGCATGTAATCTGCACCAAAAAGAGAAAAAAGAGCATTTTCTCATAATCCATTTGCAATTCCCAGCTCAAAATAGAATGTGATTTGGTAACCTTGGGAAGTTTTAACCATTTCCTATCTCAGTAAAGCTTTAAACTTCACTGAGTTTCTGGTATTTTACTGGTCTAACCAAATGGCATATGGTGGAGATATTGGGTTTGCATTGCTGTTTAGAGTGTGACACAGCCTCAAACGCTGAGTTTTTGCTGAATAAATTCCCGTCAGCCACGAACTTGGACTGGAACTTCGGCAAAAACCAAGCCAAGAAAAATCTATTAGCAAAGTTGGGCAACGAGCCCCAACCAAGAAAAGCCCATTGTCAAAATTGGGCTCATTGACAAACCATAACAAGCCCCAGCCAAGAAAAGCCCATTGTCAAAGTTGGGCTCATTGGCAAACCACAACAGCCCTAGCCAAACACCATCATAAATAAACCATGGTAATCTGTTTGCCTTCCCCAAATATAAACCAGTATTTCGTCCCAAAAAAAAAAAAACCAATATCATGATGACAATGACAATCCACAGTTATACTTTATACTACACCAAACAACTCAAGTTACCCCCCCAAAAAAAAAATTATTGTACAAACTCAAGCCATTAGTCACTGCATTTATGTTAGGTTGATGGAGAGGCTTTCCTTTGATTTGATGTGTGTCAAACTGTAATTCGTAGGAAGGATGAGTATCTCATTACTAGTAATGAGGCAAATAGTATAATTTCCAATAGGAAAATAGTTCCCTCCTTACCAAGTAAGTAGAAGTTCCTACATTCCTACAAATAGCAGTGTGATATGTGTGCATAAGTTTTTCTTTTTGTGTTTTTTATGAATTATTTTTGCATATCCGTCAAACTGTGATTTGTAAGAAGGAAAAATATATCATTACCAATAAGGAGGCAAATAATATCCTTTCTAATATGGAAATCTGTCTTTTTTTGGGATTTCTAAAATAATAATAAAGAATCAAATGTACATTGAAATTGGCTTTAAGAAACCCAGTACCAAATTTTTTTTTAACAAAAAGTCTTAATATTTCCTTTTCCCTCACATATCTCCTAATACATATGCACCGACAAGACTGGAAGATTTCACTTGAACCCTCCAGTCACATCTTGAACATGTTGAAACTTGATATTATGTAAGATCCTATGGTTCTAGAACTAGAACAAAGAGATCCTCCGTATTGGTGGGCTGAGGGTTAACATTTAATTGTCTGTTGTATTTATGGAACCAACCTAATCATCTTCTGAAAGCACAAGGTCTGCCAAACAAAAGCACAACTGTGCTGCACAGGCTACAAAGCCTAGCCCTGCCATGCCACCAAAGTACAGGCCATGCAGGAGGCTATATTGCTAGAGGCTACAACTCTAAATATTTGTATAGTTCACTTTCAATGTATTTAAGTCATAACATTATTGGCATCTTTGCCTCCTTTAAATTTTTTTTTAAAAATACAATGAAAGGATCACACTTACCCATATTCCATTGAAGTCTTTTCCCACTGCTGGCAAAAATTCCCAGCATTTAAAGTTTAGTTGGGTTGCTCTGTTTAGCAAGAAACCAAAGTGAATTCTGCTAGCTGGCTGTGTATTGGTTAGCAACCGGGCCAATCATATCTTCTTGTTTCCTATGGTATAATTGTTATCGAAGTCACATGTACGGCAGAGCTATGGCCCACAAAATTTGACAATAGTTCCACTCAAACCAGAGTTAAACATATCAGCAATTTCTGATGAAATAGAAATATATGAACTAGGCTGTCGGTGAGACCAGAAGTGAAGCTTATACATCGCGTTCATGTTAAGAGACAAAAGCAAGAGTTACAAACAAGCAATAAAAAACAAGTTACAAGTGCTTCGAGAGGGGTTATATTCTAGAGTAGTAAAAGGACCTATAGGAAACAAGTCAATAATACAACTATAATTAACTGGAGAAGCCCACTAAGCCACCAAATCCCATCAATGCCACTGCTTGAGAATCCCAACGAAGTGGTGAAATGGGAATTCTGATTTAAACTACCATTCACCAACTTTGTTTTTGAATTGGGTTCAAGCAATGTGACCTCTTGGTCTTGCTGGCATGGCTTTACCCCAAATGGTACATGGCCTGCAGGCACCAATGCACTCATAAAGCAGAGATTTGGGTTGTTCCAAGCACCAAAACGACTCCCCATTTTATGATAAAACCGCTCAGAAAATTTCATCACCCCTGTCAGGTTGTTGCCATGTAGGTAGAGTGCACTAAGACACGGCAAAGTTGCAAGCTTTGGTAAGAGGTTGCCTGTGAGCTTGTTGTCACTTAGACCCAAGAATCTCAATCTCTTTAACTTTGATATCGACTCTGGAATCTCACCAGTTAAGCCTGTGCCAGAGAGCTCCAAAATGACCAAGTTCCGTATGTTTTGCCACTCTAGCCTGTTGAGCTCTCCACCTATGGGGTTGTTGGACAAGGCTATCTCTTCCAAGGAATGCATTTCTTGAAGTGATTTGCTCAACCCACCTGAAAAATTGTTGTTCCTAAAGTCCAAAAGGGTCAGTTGCTTTAGATTAGCAAGCTCTCCTGGCAGCTTCCCTTCCAATTGGTTGTTGCTCAAGTCAAGCTTTAAGAGTGAAGTCAAACTTCCCAGAGTCATTGGCAAAGGCCCAGAGAATGAGTTCCGACTTAAATCAAGGATTAACAGCCGATTCAATTCACCAAAACCATTAGGAATTGGACCTGTAAACCAGTTTCCAGCAAGAACTAGCCGCTTCAATTGGATTAAGTCACCAATATTTGTTGGTAATTCGCCTGCTAATCCATTCTCCACTAGTACTAATGACTTGAGCTTTCTGAGGCTGCCAATGCTACTGGGAATTTGTCCAATGAGACCGGGGTTCGATCGGAACTCTAGTGATTCTAAGCTACTAGCAAGTTTCCACCAGTTGTCAGTGGGGATTGGAACTGGATGTTTGTGGGGTAAGAGGAAGCAATTGAAAAGGGACAAAGATTTTAGGTGCTTCAAATCAAACAGTTGTGGCCTAAATTTTGCACTTGTGGAACAATTAAGTGAGTTGTCATGAATGGGTCCAATATTTAAGGAGGTCACATACCAAAGACCATCAAAGAGATCACAAGACACCCCCTGCAGAAGAAAATGAAAAATCATATCAAACTCAGGAAGCCCAAAACTTCAACTAACATACTTATGCTCATTTGATATTTACTGGTGGCTATCTATGAACTATAGCACTAATGTGCAATAACCAAAGCATGAAACAGTAAAGAATTACATGTAAAGTTGTGCAAAATACATGTACCATATACAAATTATTGAAGTTTGTCCTTGAATTTCTTAATTTCTAGTCTTTTGAAGTACTATAAATATATGTTTTCATAGCAAAATTCCAGATAATTTTAATAAGGAATTCTTAATAAACCTTCAATCATGACATAAAAACTGGGACTTGTTTTAACCTTATGTCAAGTACAAGGAGTAAAAACCAAAAAGGAACATAAAGCTTGTTACTTTGGCATTTGGTGATAAACCAGACAGTACATAGTGGTGAGGGTAAAAAGGCGTACCTGTATAGGAGTCCACCCACAAGGATCAGGATAGAGGTCTGAGCCATTCCACTGTTTGCCCACAAAGCCTTGTATAGCAGAGTACAGAGCTTCTTGCTCTGTTTTCTCCATTGGAGCCAAATCATCATCTTCTTCTTCAGAGCACGAACCAGCCCAAAAGAACATACAGCTAACCAAAATGACAAGACTGATGGCTGTGTAACCCTTCATGGATGCTAATTAAAATTCAAGAAAAATAGGAAATTTGACAGAAGAGAAGAAGAAACCAAAGTCAGAAAGCTAGCTTGAGTTGAATTCAAGGAAAAACTCCGGTCACTATATCCCATGCATTCTACCTATGAAATGAAACAAAGCAGAAGACTTTCTTTCTTTTGTTTGAACCATGTAGTTTAGGGAAAAAAATGCAACAAGATGAACCGACCCAAAAGAGAATGAATTAGACAATCATCGATGTGATATGATATTCATGAGAAATGGCAACATGGGTCCCTTTACATATATGGAAAATCAGAAGTGTTTGGGACCCAAGCAGAATGTAAGAAAGATCCAAAGCTACTTGAAAGAAAAAGGGAGAAGGGAAATTGCAGAAGCAGAAGCAAGAATGCTAAGCTCTCTCTACCCCTTGTGTTTATGGAAAAGCTAAGAAAGTATATACAAGGGCAGAGAGAGAGAGAGAGAGAGCGAGGACAGAGGATCTAAAGCGCAGTTCTCGAAGAGTGCCAAAGTAATAATAGCATTGAACAATAATTAAGATCAGAAGAGAAGTAAGTAGGAACTTGAAAGTGAAAGCGAAAGGTTGGATATTACGTTTTATTAGGCTCTGCTTTCAATCCCGTGATAGTCTTATCAATCATTAATTAACAACTTTTAATTCAATGATATTTCCTTTTATCATCATTATGCTCATTAAATATGTTTACTTTGTTTTCATCCAAAAAAAAAAAAAGATGTTTACTTTGCAGACAGATAAAGAGTGTGCTAGTTGGAAGGGGGGTTGTCAAAATTGTGAGATTAGTTATGGTAAAACTGAATAAGGGTTTATTAGGGTTTGCAGTGGGGATTGTGATAGGGGGATAGGGGACCATTTGCTCATGCAAAACAAAGGAGGTGCATGTAAATACATGCAAGACAAAAAGTTGGGTTTTTATCACTCCCTGCTTGGTTGTTCTCTAGGGCTGAGGTTTCTGGCTTTTGGGTTAATGAGTGTCTTCTGAAATAGTGGAGGAAAGAGACAAAACAGCATTGAATCTCTAAAAAGGATGGGGCAAACTGTATGGCTCCAAATGGGCTTTTAGGAACAGGCTTCAAGTTATATACTGTGCTGTTATGGCATATCTTGGATTGGAACCATAGTTTTACCGATTGTTCCACCTTTTTTCCTTTCCTAATGACCAAAAGAAAGAAAACAAAATCCTTCCTTTTCATTAGTGTATATTTGTAGACACTAAATTATAACCCTGCTTGGAAAGTCAACTCACATATCAACAGAATTTGGACAACAGTAATAATCCAGTGCAAAATCCTCTGTTTCTCTATATCTTATAAAGTTATACCCACTGGATGAGAAAAAAGCAAAAAAGAGGTCAATAAGCAGCTGTGAATACATAAATAATGGCACTCTGGAGATTTTTTCATGTTTTTTTTAATTTACTTCTGGGTTGCAGGTACTTTGGAGCTTTTGATGGAAGGACCACAGTGTCGCAGTAGTGGTGGGGGGAGGAGGGGATAGATGGAAGGCTAAGAAGGCATAGCCCACCCTCTACTTAATTGTTTGGCTTGTTGGCAGACCTAGTATAGCCTGATAAGTCATTTTCTTCACAAGCTTTTCTTTCTATGGAGGTCCCCGATACGTTATTGTATGTGTGCTTGAGAGAGAAAAACTGTAGAACAGTATAAAGATAGTTTGTGTGTTTTATTATTATTTTAAATATATAGATGATCGATTAATATAAATCTATGGGGAGAGGAATTCGAACTTATGCAAGGGGGAAAACTCACTATCCTGACCAACTTATCTAACTCATACTTGCGTCTCATCTTTTGATTAATCTCATTGAATTTGATTCCATAGTTAATTTACTCAGTCATTTGATGTCAATTTATCATTAATAGACCCGTTTAGTGACTTGACCATTTAACTTGAGTTGTCTATGATAGAGTGGAGTGGGATTTCCTTGAAACTATGCTTCAGAGGTTGGGCTTTAGTGATCGATGGGTGGAGTTTATCATGGACTGTGTGTCCACTGTTACCTATTCTATCCAGTTTCGGGAGGCGGTGACGGGCATGATTGTGCCGACAAGAGGGCTTAGGTAAGGTGACCCCATCTCGCCTTATCTGTTCTTAATATGCGCGGAAGGACTGTCTACCTTATTATCCTTTGCTCTCAAAACGAAACAAATCAAGGGAATCTCAGTGGCTAGTGGAGCCCCCACTATTTCCCATCTCTTTTTTACTTATGATGTTATCGTGACTTGTGGATATTGACTTACAGTCCTTACAAACCAAGAATTCCTATTATAATTGTAATTGATTTACTTTAATTCCTGATTTTCTACTGTAAATAAATTTAGGAATTTATTATTTACTTGCCCATTCAGGTTTCGTTGTATTATAAATATGACCTCCTACAAGAAGAAGAATACACAGAAAATTTCCACAAATAAATATTCTCTCATAGTTTTCATATTTTAGCATGGTATCAGAGAGGCGATCTTGGAATTGCTGACTCTAATTTCAAAACCCCGCCGACGCTATGGGGGTTGATGATTTTGTCAACCCTCATGGAGGTAGCACCACCGACTCATTCTCTCATTCTCAACCAACTATAGCTGAGTTGAGTGCCCAGATGGCTCAGCTCCTACAGATGCAGACTTTGGCCCCGAATCTGATCCTGAATCAGGATCCTATTTTGATGACCCCGAACCCGATCTGGAATCAGGATCTTATTTTGACGACCTTGACCCCGACCTCGACCCCCACTCCGATGACGACATCGACCCTGAATCTGTCTATGATTCAGACCCCGACCTTGATTTCAACTCCGACTCTGGCCCCGACTCAGGCTCAGATCCCGATCCGAATTCCTACTCAACCTGTATCCTATGCATCTTTTGCTGCACAGATTATGACTTCTCGACTAACTACCCCGACACATGGACCAGATTGTGCATATTATGGTGATTCGAGACACACTCGTGAGACTTATTTTAAATTGCATGGCTACCCCGATTGGTGGGCTACTCTTAAAGATCGAAGACAATGCAATACGACCAGAAATGGTACTGGTTATGGATTCCATACTTCCGATAAGATTGATTCCAGGAGCTAGATAATTGATTCCGGTGCAACTGATCATATGACGTTTAATCCTGATGATTTTATGAATACTACACAACCTCGACGAACCTGTATTGCAAATGCCAATGGCGTTACTTATCCTGTGATGGGGGCTGGCACTGTTGCACTATCATCCACTCTCACACTGTCTAATACTTTACTTGTTCCATCTTTATCCACTAAATTGTTGTCAGTTAGTCAGGTTACTGAATAATTGAATTGTTGTGTACTCATTTACTCGAGTTTTTGTTTGCTTCAGGATATTCACACTAAGGAGATTCTTGGTCGTGGTACTAAGAGAGGGGGCTATATTATGTCGATGACTTCAGTCCCGGCATGGCTAACAGTGTGTCGCATCCCTTTGATAGCAAACAAAAGCAAATATGGTTGTGGCACCGTCGATTGGGACATCCGTCTTTTAGTTATATGAAGCATTTTATACCAGATTTATTCTCAGGTTTCAAAGACTCTGACTTCACATGTGTTATTGTATTTTGGCCAAGAGTCACCGTGTGCCCTACCCATTGAGTACGAACAAGTGTACTCCTCTATTTACATTAATTCACTCTTATGTCTGGGGACCTTCCCCTATCACTGCTCCTTCTGGTGTTCGATGGTTTGTCACATTCATAGATGATTGTACACGAATTACATGACTTTATTTGCTAAATAATAAAAACGAAGTGTTTTCTCGTTTTCAGTCCTTCCACAAACAGATGAAAACTCAGTTTAATGCTCAAATCCAGATTCTTCGCTCAAACAATGGTGGAGAATTTGTCAATCATGACTTTCAGACTTACTTCCAACAACATGGAATTATCTATGAGACAACTTGTCCTCAAACACCACAACAAAATGGTGTTGTTGAACGAAAGAATCGACATCTTCTTGAAACTGCCCGAGCACTTCTGATTGGCGCTCATGTTCCTTGCCATCACTGGGATGATGCTATTGTCACCGCAGTTCACCTGATCAACCGCATGCCTTCTGATGTATTGACCTTTAAAACTCCCTTACAGGTGCTTGCGCAATACAGACCTCTGCTCTCTGTTTTGGTACTCACGCCCCGAATCTTTGGATGTGTGGCTTTCATTCATCTCCACAAAAATCAACGTAGCAAACTTGATCCCTGTGCACTTCGTTGTGTTTTTGTGGGTTATGCCACTCATCAGGAAGGTTACAGCTGTTATCACCCACCTACCCGACGTACCTATGTCACTTTGGATGTGACCTTTTTGGAATCTGAGCTGTTCTTCCATGCCTCATTATCCAATTCTACGCTTCATGGGGAGATACGAAGTGAATAGTAGAATTGGAGCAACCTGGAAAACGAAGAAATTCTCCTCTGTACAGAAATGATCGATCGTCCCGAGTTTGGAGCACAAGATTACTCTCTGCAGAAAAGCGATCAATTGCCCATTCATAGCAATCAATTGCCTGACCCACCTGATCCATGTGAAGATATTTATGATCCGAGTCTCACACCTACAGACAATACATAACAACAAGATGAAGACCCCCTTTCTAAATCAACAGTACCAACAGACCAATCTCTTGAGAATATCCTTGAGGTAATTACTCCTACTAGACTTGTGCATTTAGAGGATAAAACTATTGGATATCAATTACTTTTCAGGCAAAATCGTGAGAAGCTACCAAACCGTTATTCACATGATATTAGCAAGACATCCAAGTATCCAATTGCAAATCATGTATCCACTGAGAAGCTGTCAGAACCACTCAAGGCTTTTGTGCACCAGTTGTCTGTTATCCATATTCCAACCAAAATATCTGAAGCATTGAAAGATCCTAAGTAGGTCCAAGCTATAAAAGAGAAGATGAAAGCTCTTGAGAAAAATCAGACTTGGACATTGGAGACTATACCACGAGGAAAAAAAACTATCGAATGTAGATGAGTGTTTACTATAAAACACAATGCAGATGGATCTATTGAGCAATACAAGGGAAGACTTGTGGCAAAAGGGTACACACAGACCTATGGTATAGACTATGAAGAAACATTTGCTCCAGTTGCAAAGTTAAACACCGTCAGAGTCTTATTGTCTCTTGCAACTAATTTGGATTAGCTACTACACCAGTTTGATGTAAAGAATGCTTTTCTACATGGTGAACTCACGGAGGAGGTGTACATGGACATCCCTTCTGGATATAATAATACTCAAACTGGAACAGTTTGCAGGTTACGAAAAGTATTGTATGGATTGAAATAGTCACCACGTGCATGGTTTGGACGGTTCACCATGGCAATAAAGAACAATGGTTTCAAACAGTGCAACTCAGATCATACTTTG